GTAGTTTCAGAGGAGAAGATTTTTGTAAAAGATTACAAAAATTTACGAAAAATGGTTAAAAATTGACTAGAAATATAGATCTTGACCTGATAAACAATTTTACCCCATGTCAGATTTGTTCTAAATGCTTTGGTTTCAGAGATATAAGCCAAAATCTACATTTTACCCCTATGTTCTATTTTTAGCCATGGCGGCCATCTTGGTTGGTTGGCCGGGTTACCGGACACATTTTTTAAACTAGATACCCCAATGATGATTGTGGCCAAGTTTGGTCAAATTTGGCCCAGTAGTTTCAGAGGAGAAGATTTTTGTAAAAGTTAACGATGACGGACGACGACGACGACGACGGACGACTGTGGGCCAGGTGAGCTAAAAATGCAGGACAAAATTTTTTATCCTAGCCCCCCCTCAAAAATCAAATGGTAGCTCCCTTAACTGAGTTGTTGAAATTTTCCCCACATACATGTATATGTTCTTAATACAATGGCATAATTAAATAAGGGAACGTAACGGACACTTCAGCTATCAATATATACAGACTGTAAGAGGATTAGCGAGCCAAAAAACTTGAGATAATACCGAAGATGGTACTTCTCAAACCATGTTCGAAGTTCTGTTCAAGATTCGTTTTGCATGTAGTTGCACCGGAAGTGCAATTTTTTAATATGATCATGTATAGGAATACATGAATTAATCAAGTTTTACCTTGTTTACCTTGGAGCTTACCACTTTCTGTATTGATCAGTATTGAAGTAATTTCATGTCGAGAAAAAAAAAACACTAGTGAACACCATGCAATTTAATATATATCCTGAAATAATAATTATATTATATCTGGGAAGCTGCAAGTGATACTAACAACTAATGCTTGATACAGTGAAACTTGTCTAAACCAAACCCTGAATAAACTGGAAACCATGTTCTGAAGTCCCTTCATCTCAGATTCAATGCATTTTGAACTTCAGTCGTGAATGAGATTGGTTTACAGATTTCACTGTATAAATATTGTAACTGATATACAGATATGAATTTACTTTACATTTATACATACAAGTATTTACAGTGATCATGGTGATCTGACATAATTATTTTGTTTGAAATTTCTCAAATAAAAATTAATGTTATATTTATTTTCATTGTTTTCAGAGCAACAGGTATTTTAGACCTGTAGTATAATTGTTGGAAGGTTGTTGTTTATTTTTATTTATAAGCATTCACTATACATGCTATATATAAGACTAATAATATTTCATTAAATAGAATGTTAATGAAAAGGAACATTCTAATACTATCATGACTATACAAAGACAGATGACATACTTCAAAACTTTTCTCGTCTCTCATGGTACACACACACAAACATATACATTTGTATATAAAGAGTAATATTCATATTTATATTTTGTTTCTTTACATTCAAATGTTTATAAAGTTTTACTTTACATTTTCAATATACCAACTGATGTTCTAAAGAAAGGAATACATAAAGGTATCGTCATGTTATGTGACTTTGGACGATAGAATTTCATGAGAGTGGTTGACATTTTCATGCTTTATGCTTCTATTTTGACCAAAAAACTTAACATGGAGGATTGAAATTGACTAACAAGATGTAAAAGAAGCAATATAAACAAAACTATAACCCAAATGATTAAAAAATGTATTTTATTATTTTTTAAAGACAAAAGAGATGAAACAGTTTTTCTAGAAAAGGAAATAAAATGCTTCGCTGGGGCGCAGCTTGATACGACCGCAGAGGTCGAACCCTGAACAGTTGGGGCAAGTATGGACACAACATTCAATCTTGATACAGCTCTGAATTTGGATTGTTATTAAATATTTGACACAGCATAGGTTTCTGACACAGAAAGAATGTGGTCTAAGAACTTGAATTTTTTTAATTTACACCTATTATGGTCCAATGTCCAAAATCAAAATACATGGTTAGATTCAGCATATCAAAGAACCCCATATTTTCAATTTTTGTTAAAATCAAACAAAGTTTAATTTTGGACCCCAACTTGGACAAACTTGAAAACTGGGCCCATAATCAAAAATCTAAACACATGTTTAGATTCAGCATATCAAAGAACCTAAAGAATTCAATTTTTGCTAAAATCAAACTAAGTTTAATTTTGGACCCTTTGGACCTTAATGTAGACCAATTTAAAACGGGACTTAAAATTAAAAATCTAAATACACGGTTAGATTTGGAATATCAAAGAACCCCAATAATTCAATTTTTGATGAAATCAAACAAAGTTTAATTTTGGACCCTTTTGACCTCAATATGAACCAATTTGATAGCGGGGCCCACAAATAAAAAATCTAAATTCATGGTTAGATTCAGCATATCAAAGAACCCCATATATTCAATTTTTGTTGAAATCAAAAAAAGTTTAATTTTGGACCCCAACTTGGACCAACTTGAAAACTGGGCCCATAATCAAAAATCTAAACACATGTTTAGATTCAGCATATCAAAGAACCCCAAGAATTCAATTTTTGTTAAAATCAAACTAAGTTTAATTTTGGACCCTTTGGACCTCAATGAAGACCAATTTAAAAAACGGGACCAAAATTAAAAATCTAAAAAAACGGTTAGATTTGGCATATCAAAGAACCCCAATAATTCAATTTTTGATGAAATCAAACAAAGTTAAATTTTGGACCCTTTTGACCTCAATATGAACCAATTTGATAGCGGGGCCTAAAAATTAAAAATCTAAATACATGGTTAGATTCAGCATATCAAAGAACCCCATATTTTCAATTTTTGTTGAAATCAAACAAAGTTTAATTTTGGACCCCAACTTGGACCAACTTGAAAACTGGGCCCATAATCAAAAATCAAAACACATATGTTTAGATTCAGCATATCAAAGAACCCCAAGAATTCAATTTTTGTTAAAATCAAACTAAGTTTAATTTTGGACCCTTTGGACCTTAATGTAGACCAATTTAAAAAACAGGACCCAAAATTAAAAATCTAAATACACGGTTAGATTTGGAATATCAAAGAACCCCAATAATTCAATTTTTGATGAAATCAAACAAAGTTTAATTTTGGACCCTTTTGACCTCAATATGAACCAATTTGATAACGGGGTCCACAAATAAAAAATCTAAATACATGGTTAGATTCAGCATATCAAAGAACCCCATATATTCAATTTTTGTTGAAATCAAACAAAGTTTAATTTTGGACCCCAATTTGGACCAACTTGAAAACTGGGCCAAAAATCAAAAATCTTAATACATGTTTAGATTCAGCATATCAAAGAACCTCGTATATTCAATTTTTGCTAAAATCAAACAAAGTTTAATTTTGGACCCTTTGGACCTTAATGTAGACCAATTTGAAAACTGGACCCAAAACTAAAAATCTAAATACACTGTTAGATTCGGCATAACAAATAAATAAATGTGATCAAAGATTTTACAAATCTAATGCGCCATACTGTGCAATTAAAGATTACTTCTTGAAATTTTTCAATATTTGAAATTTGAAAAAAAAATAATATTTGAAGAATAATTCTTTTTAATTTCTGAAATCTGAAATGAGAAAAAATTGACCCCCCACAATTTCTTTTTACTGCCCCCCCCCCCCCCCCCCCCCCCCCTTTTTTCCCCAAAAAAATTCTTTCCCTCAAGATATGGTCATAATCTCAATTCAAATTTCCAATGGAGTTGGCAACCATAATTACCCATTTAAATTTACCATAGTGCTAACTTAATCTATTTTATAATAGAATTAAAAATATAGTGTCAAATCTTTCATATGGATTTTTTTGTAAAAAAAAAAGATGCAACATTTGCAGATATTTTTACTGGTCTTCCTTTATAAATATGCATTTCTTTAAACATAATTTAAAAGCAGTGTAAGGGAAGTAACCAAAACGTTGTATTTGGATTACCTCCCTTACACTGTTTTAAATTATCTTTATTGTTCATTAACCATTACTTTATACATAATTTAAAAGCAGTGTAAGGGAGATAATTTCAATGATGTATTTGATTTATCTCCCTTACACTGCTTTAAATTATGTTTTGTACTAAAGTATTTGTCCATTAACCAGGACAACCTTGTTTTTCCCCCTTTTTTGCCCCTAATTCCTAAACGGTTTGAGCCATAACCCCCAAAGCAAATCCTAACCATCCCTTTGTGGTATGGAAACTTGTAGTATAATTTCAGAGAGATCCATACACCGTTCCACAGTTATTGTCTGGAAACTAGAAAATGCTTATTTTTGGACCCTTTTTGGCCCCTAATTCCTTAACTGTTGGTACCATAACCCCCAAAATCAATCCCAACCTTCCTTTTGTGGTATTTAACCTTATGGTCAAATTTCAAAAAGATCCATTCACTTAAACTAAAGTTAGAGTGCGAAAAACCAATGTGTCTTCGGACGACGACGCCGGACAACGACGACGACGACGACGACACCGGACGACGACGACGACGCCAACGTCATACCAATATACGACCACAAAATTTTTTTGCGGTCGTATAAAAATTACCATTTTCACAATGCCTTTAAAATGAGGTAAAGTTTTCTTAGATCAGTTGATTTTAAAAAAATCACTTTCCGTACCTAGTAAGATAATCAAAATAAAATATTCTATAATGTCAGTCCTGTTTTGTTCTTTTTTGTACTGTTAAAATCGATGATTTCATATTGAATTATGAAATCATATCAACAACGACCAAGGTTAAAATATCCAAATGATTAAACACTAAACAGTAAATATTAGATCTATTGTTAGTTAAAACAAAATTTAAAGTTATAACGGGACTAGTATACTAACTAGTCCCAGGTTTTAAAACGGTAATTTTTCATTTTATTTTTTAGATCTTTGGCAAGATGGAAAAAAAATAATTTTTGAGCATAGAAAAGGACTAACTGCAAATAAAAGTTTTAAGTTACAAAAATATACGGGAAGACCGTTTTCGAAGAAACATCTTTAACTTCAAAATGTTATGAAGTTTTTGTTTATACTTGTATTTTGTGAGGTTTTGTCTTCTAATTGTGCAGAGAGCCGAATATGACACTTTTTTCAAGAGAGATGTCATTTTGTTTACTTCATTCCATCAAGAGTTGTATCCCTTTCAGCTCATACTTAGGCTAAATACCGAAAGAAAATACTGCATACAATCACGGAACATAACGGACTGAACTTTTACACACAAAGCTTTAAGCACAAAGTCGCAAGGCATTGTTGGATCCTTTTTGTGCTTTTTATGATCGGAATTTCTCAAACTAAACACATTATTGCATTTGTAACAAACTGAACTGTACTTCTCGTATTTTTAATTTTCCTCAGTCCCATCTCGGACTAAATACATGCTTTATAATCATAAATATATTGGTCCGGCCCAGCTTCCATTGGTGGTGATTGTCAGGCTTATGAAGTGAATATTTCAGATAGCTCGACACGCACATGTTAATACTAACGTTTCAGAATTTTTTTAAATGAATGTACATATGTTTGTTGTTAAAAACCCAGTACTTGAAGGAGGGCATAAAGGTCCCGCTTCAATTTTCCGCAACTAAGTTTTCTAGCATGCCAGGAACACGGGAACTTTCAATATGAAATGTTGTGTCTAGCCAGATTTAAAAGTTGTGTCTGTTCGGGGAAAACATAAAGTAACTTATTATTACAAGGACTATTATCGATAAAAAAAAATTTTTATTTTTTAAAGGGATTTTAAGCAACTAGTCCAGAGAGTTTCGGGAAAATATATCAACAAATTAGAATAATATGCAGCAAAGATTGACGACTTTTTAAATTTACCTCACTAGGCAAATTCAAACCGAACTTATTTCGATATGATCAATTTGATCATCTAATGCGAAAACATCGAGAAGACCGCGCATGCACTGAGTATACCTCGTGTATATAATTTAATCACGTTTCTATATTTGTTCTTAATAAAAAAAAATATTATGAATAATCAGTTTGTATGTACGATTGCATGTGTTGTTTGTGTGAATTGATGAACTTTGTGATTTTAATTGACTTATATACTCTATATGAGCCCTTTAATTAGAAATACTGAAGAAATATTGATTTGTTCAAATACTTCGAGACGACCTTTTTAAAATTCATTAGAGATAGTAAAATCTTTTAAGGGGCATTAACTACGAGATATACAAAAAAATCAAAATATTTTCTTTTCAATCATTACTGAAAGTGAAATAGTGAAATAATAATTCGTTTTTAGCAGCCAGTTTGGTTCAATTTTGACAAAATAAGCTAAGAAACATCGCTAATGAATTATTTACTTGCAAGTGAATAATTTGACATCATTGAATCCGCATTCATCATTCATGTGACCTTCAATTTCATCCCTTAGCAGGTGATGGGTTAAACACGCACTAGGCGTGTTTAGCTATTAAAAGGAAAAGAATGTCAAAATTGAAAAAGAAACTAGGTTTAACAATTTCGTAGACTGATTCGATCAACAAAAACTTATTCTTATACAGGTAAAAACGATGATTAACATAATTGTTTAACCTATGATATGAAATCAAAAAGACCTAGAAAAATCCAATTGCACGTGCTCACTATCTATTTATATCTATATTTATGTTTACATCGGGTTATATGACCGTCGGCAGTCTTCGGAGGTCACTTCGATGGTTAATTAGATGGCGTCTATACTGAAATACAGACGAAATGCTGATACATATCGAGTCCATGCATTGTAAATTGTTTATTTTAGACTTTTTATATAATTTGGATATACATTTTAGTATGTTAAAAAATCAAGTATGAGAATTTTAGTGAAATCAGTGAACATGAATTTGACAGCTAATGGCCCTTTAACGGATAAGTATTCGTGCAGAAATATTTTTCTTTAATTTTTCTGACCTGAATAGACATAACTTTGAACTCGTTATATTCACAGAAACACAATCTTTTCTATTCTGAACGTTTTCGTGACAATGGTGTGCATGAAAACTTATATAGAATAATAAAGGAGATGTGGTATTATTTCCAATGAAGCAACTATCCACCGGTGTTCAAACAAAGTGGGTATAACCAATTATAGGCCACCGCAAGATCTTCAACAATGAGAAAAAACCCATACCGTATAGTCGGCTAAAAAATGGGAAACAATTCAAATGAACAAAATAACGGCTTAATTTAAAGAAATTTTTATTTACTAAAAACAAATACGACAGTCATAAACAAACAAAAACCACTGAACTACAGGCACCTGACTCAGGACAGAATGTGGCGGGGTTAAACATGCATGTGGGGCTAAACCCTCCCCTAATCTAAGACAGGTGTCTAACAATACAACATGAAAACTAACTAAAATTCAGATGCAATTGGCTTAACGCAAAAGATCGGTACGAGGCACACAACAACAAACATAAAAACAATAGACACAAAGCCCCGATATAAGAGTACTCGCAGTTACTTAAAGCTTGTTCGAAGCTAATTGCAACTAATAAATAAATCATGTTCTCCCAGTTTAAAGTATCAATCAGTACCCGTATCAATCAGTACACATCAAATGGATTTAGTGTAAAAACGTCATAAACAGCGTGAGACACGCATGACCTTGTGCAACGAAATATAAGTAAACAGTATCGACAGGATGTAGGATCATGAGGTCTAATAGGTATACATTAAGTTATGTTTAAATTTCTTATTTACAAAATCAATATTAGTACATTTAAAGATTTTACTACTATGTTAAATTGATAACTTTTAAGCATAAGTTTATTCAAAAGATCCATTAGTTTACATGGATAGTATCTAAATTTACGGGATATATAAACAACATTCCCGTAAAAATGGTGATGTGATATCCCGTTTTAAATGAGAATTCTACATACAGCCAAATGATCTAACAAAATCCTTGCATCTATGAAAAAAACTGTTGAAGGTTTTAATTAATTTGTGGTAACGAAATCCCTAACTTAATAATTTACCAGTTAAAACTGAAATATAAAACGCGACTATACAGACACGGGTTTAGCAAACAAGTGAAAAATACACACCATAATGCGAAAACATTAAGAGGACCACACATATGTATAAGTCTTAAGATAAATGTGGACCCATTGGCTAAAATGGCTGTGTTTTCACCTGAAAACTTACTCTGAGTACAGACAAACCCGGATGCATTACATTTGCGCGCATTCTTTTACAGATAAATACAGGTAAATTATACTTAGATATTTTTTAGCTGTTTTTTTTCCAGCAGTTTAAGTCCGTTTTATTATGCACAAGCACTTAGTAATGGAAATATATACAGACCAAAATGTAAAAACATAGGAAAATCAAATCTAAAGATTAAAATTACTTATTTTACATGTCGTGACATGATGAATATTTGAAGCCCAATACTTTAAGAAAACACATACTTTTGACACAAAAATACATGGATGTTCTGATTAAAATTGCTCATTGTAGTGAGCATTGATTGATTCCGGGCCGGTTGTAGTACGCCTTGATTCTGCTGACGGTAGTGATGCACGAAGACTTGGAGGAACTATGGAATCTGTTGAAATACTTTTGCAACTATTTACGGTGCATCGCCATGAAATAACCCCTGACTTAGTGTTCTGTCGATAAGGAAAGTAAATCCATCGTATACTAATGATGTGTTCCCCAGATTTCTTTCTGACAAACGTAATTCCATGTTAGCGCCTTTGACGCAACTGTACAAACTAACTTAAATTATTTACGAAAGCGATCACTATCCGGAAAAATTACGAAACACAATACTCTTCATCCCTGAAATATTAACGTGTATGTCTAAAACTATTACGGGATTTCTCATGATCACTTTATATTTTTTTAGAATTTAATATGAAAAATATATAATTTGAATTTACAAATAAGATCAAAATCCATAATAACTATCGTCATATTTATTATGAATTATCTTTATTTTACCTATATGTTACCTGTAAAATGAATGCGCGCAAATGTAATCAAAAGCTGCGCGCAAACGTAATTTTTTTAATCCCCAAATGCGCGCAAATTTAATGCGCCCGACAAATCTGTGTATCTGGAAAAGTTTTAATGCATTTGTATTTTATTTATTTAGAGCATGCTATGCCTTAAAAAAACTTTGCCAGATACACAGGTTTGTCTATACTCAGAGTAAATTGTCAGGTAAAACGCTATTTTAGCCAAATGGTCCAATTGTTATTTTTTTTATTAATATGAAGCAAAAATTAACTTTTCTAAAGTATTAATGTAACGAGCTTTTAATGAAAATTACCTATAGATAATGATGCATTTGCATGTATATTTCAAATTTGAACTTAATTTGAACATAAACGATTACGGTTTCAAATTGAACTTTTGGTCAGAATGGTGACCGACGTACACAAACCATTGGTTTTGTTACCTATCATATATAGAGAAGTGCTACTTTTCTTATTGTTTCCGCTTCTCCACTTTACACACTGTACAGATACGATACGTATTTATAGTATTCAAAAATAAATGGAAGTCCAAACTAATAGAAAAATAAATGGAAGTCCAAACTAATAGAAAAGTAAATAGAAGATCAAACTAATAGAAAAATAAATGGAAGTCCAAACTAATAGAAAAATAAATGGAGGTCCAAACTAATAGAAAAATAAATGGAAGTCCAAACTAATAGAAAAGTAAATAGAAGATCAAACTAATAGAAAAATAAATGGAAGTCCAAACTAAAAGAAAAATAAATGGAGGTCCAAACTAATAGAAAAATAAATGGAAGTCCAAACTAATAGAAAAATAAATGGAAGTCCAAACTAATAGAAAAATAAATGGAAGTCCAAACTAATAGAAAATTAAATCCAACGCTAACAGTGTAAACGTATGCGGGAATACAATTTTAAATTGAAATGGCTAAGATGGAATCTATAAAATTACTCGTCTATATAAAAAATATTAAAGCTATTAATTATTCGCCTCCTGCTAACATTTTATTTCAATAGAGCCATATAGGCAAAGAGTGTCAAATGCCATTCTTCAAACATTATATTTTTTTGTGAGATAACGTCACTTGCTTGCCGGCTTCACGAGCACGGCAACCACATTAAATTAACGCCAATGTTGTTCGTACTTCGTTCAAGAGGTGTTTTGATTTAATTTTAATGTATCAGTAAGGCAATTTCAAAAGGAATATGGGTTGCAAAAAATGTGTTTTTTTCCCCTGATGATCTGGGTAGGGTTTACAGAATTAGAGAATAATGGTAGAGAAAATTAGCAAAAAAAGAAAAAAAGAATAGAGAATAATTAATAGATGGCTTAAGTATGAAGAACAACTGTGGAAAACAAGAATTAGTTAATACAATTCTGATTACAGTAATGAACACTATAATAGAATAAAAAAATCAAGTAGTTTCACAAAAAACAAATACAAAAAACAATAGAACAATCATTTTCACAATCATTTTACAGAATAAACGTTATTTTTTAAGATAAAGAAAAATTCTCTGAAAAAATTAAAGAATACAATAATTATAGACCACCAATTCAGACCCTCTTTACTCCTGATTGCGTATATTTGGAATATTCATGAAACGTATTGTTCGCTCTTATCATTCAAGCACTATTATTTTACGCGGACGTCAATTAAGCGATGACGTCACTGAAAACACCACTACTCATGACGCGGACGTCCTAGACGCACATGTATCAGTCATATATATGGTAAAATAAATCAGAATTGAAAAATAAACAAATTTCATTATTTGGTACTTTTAAAAAAGAATTTTACTATTAGGACTATTATTAAAACCCTTGCTTTTACTGGAACCAATATATAAACAATTTTTATAAATTATTAGTTTCAGTTTTTAATCATCATATCAAGGATTTGTATAGTGCAAATCATTGATAATATATAAAGTTTCTATCGATGTTTTGTTGTCTCTTTTGTCAAATTTATGACGTGTTCATTTATTGCAATTATTTTCAATATGTATATTTTAGGCAGATATTAGAATATATATATTTTCTTTGAAGTTGAAGGTCGCTAATTGCTATTTTAGCGCATGCGTAACACCTACACCTGCTTATTCCTTTCCCATTAGTATTGTAGAACTTCCGTGAATTAGCAGTGCATACAACGGATGATTTTTTAACTCGATGGCAGTGTTGCCACACAAATTGTCATGACACGATTATATAATATACAGAATTCTTGATGTTGAGTGTGGATATATCGCTTTAATGTCTGGAAATTACCCAAAATGGCATCTTTCACTGGATCAATGAAATTAAAAATCTGCGAAGCGGTCGATCTACGACCCACTGATTGTGCCACTCGCCTTCAGATGAGTGTAGCTAAAGCCGTACAGTTAATTGACCCGTATATTTCAATAGATCTAGATGACATTCATGTCTACAGGACGTCAACAAAGCCAAAAACTTTAAAACCAGTATGGAATGAAGATTTTCATTTGGAAGTCCATAATGGCCAAACTATCGGACTGACAGTTTTCCATGATGCTGCCATTCCTCCGGACGAATTTGTGGCTAATTGTTTCCTCTCTTTTGATGACATAAAAGACCAGAAATCGAGAGACATGTGGGTGAGTTGATTTCAAGATTCATTTTCTTCTTTTTATTTATGTTTGCTGCTGAAGCGAATGCATATCAAAATTTCAAGATGGATGACTTTCGGAATACACAAATCAGAAAAGATATTATTAGAATCACTGTTTTAATTTGGTTTGAATAAAAACAATGTATTGCATTTAGTCTTTAGTTACATAGATTGTTATTTATTTTGTAGATTGACCTGGAGCCAACAGGCAAGATACATATAATTATACAGCTTTATAATGCAGAATCCACTGAAGGTATTACCCCATATAATTAACATACATTCTGAGTAACACCAATACACACATGTACAATAAACAACAGAATGTTGTCATAAATACATACCAGTTATAGTAAATTGATTAAAACTACTTCTTCAATACACAACAGTTATTGTTGAAATGTCAGATATTATATATGAGTTTTATGTACATTGTATGATATGATAGGGAATTCTGACAATAGCGTAATGTACCCCTGCTATTGCGATTCAACTTATAGATGCATTCAGGATATAATATCCCAAGTCGGGATATAAGGTAACTTTATTATACATTAAGTGCGATATGTTTTTTTCTTCTGTGTAAAATGACCAGAAACATGGCACATGGGGAAAATCAGACTAAGTTCCTACATGTAATTGGTCTCCACAAACAGAACGGGTAAAACTCTTTGTTGGTCAAACTTAAAAATTAATTTTATAACTGGACAAAATGTTCAATAAAAATTTTGCAGAGTTAATTTTATGAGCACATTCAATAACAGCAAGGCAACAGGCAAATTGCTCATGTTACTGGTCTGTTTGTTTTCATTTCCCAACTACAGGGTATTTTGTTTTCAAATATACAAAAAAAAACATCCGAGCCAAAAATAAAATACCATACTCTCCCTTCTATAATCATGATAATGTACATTTGGATATTTAGCTACATTAAGATGATTGGAATTTAAGTGAAAATTATTGCAGTATAGTAAAACTATTTACTGAATGTTTATTTGACCTTCACCTTATGTCCAATAGATCATAAAACAATTTCACAAAGTCTGTTCCAAACTGTCTGACATTCTGTCCAACGGTCATGCCACATATGACCGATGAGATTTTTGAAAATCATTCGTTCAATTTTATATACATGTATCTTTTCTACTGCTTCAATTCCCTAAATATTACTTTAAATGGCATTACAAATGGAATTCAGTTATTTATCTTCTAATATTTTGCTATTACCAGACAAATGCCAGATGTAGAGTGAAAAAATATAGAAACGCGGAATTTTACCAATATCGGGGTTTTAGTCACTGCTAATACAGTTCAGCAAAATATGGGTTTGTGGCATAGTGGTTAAGAACTTAAGACCCATGGCTACAGTGCTGAAGGTCTCAGGTTGTATCCTGACTTGGAGTGCTGGAAATTTTAGTAAATTAGTTAGGTAGGAAATTTTCACCATCCCATACACATCTCTGGTACTGAGATCAGAGTTTAAGAGATCAGAGGGGGTGCTCCAAATAATGGAGGGATCTTCGTACATACACACAACGGCGTTTGCAAAATTAGTCATTGAAAAAGAAATTTACAATTGTAAAGTCTTTTTAATGAATATTAAATGAAAAAGCAGGGGAATCAAATAAATATATACAGTAAATTCAGAAATTATTGCGAGGTTTTTATTAATGTGAATAATCATGATAATGCGACTGGGTGAATATCGCAATAAGAACTCGCATTCTGATATCTGATGCAGATTTTCCTAAAATCGCAATGACTAGTCTCGCATTTTTGTCAATTTTTAAAAAATCGCAATAATAAATGCAAGCAATAATTTCTGAATTTACAGTAATTAAGATTAAACTAATTTCCTTCAACTGTGAGCTGTGGTATCACACATTGATGAAATTTCTGATTTCCTGGCTGTCCAAGTTCCTAATCTGTGTAATCTGTGCCACTGCAATTAAGTTTTATCTAGGAAATATAAATTGTACCTGAATCAGAATCAAACATTTACCCTTATCATTCATGTTTTTGATTGATGGAAATGAAACAACGATGGTTATAAAGAAATATCACCAGGAAAGACTGGATTTCTTTTTATTCAAGGGTTACAAAACACAGGACTGAATTTAAACGACATAATTTAAACTTGTGCATGTCATTTCATAGGTTAATGACAAATAATATTCAAAGAATTGAATTTAAAGTTAAAAATTTTGTTTAAAGATGTAACTCATGCAGCCAAATACAACCAAAGTTTGGTGAGACATAAATGCTTGAAACCAGGAAGGACTATTCTTTATTAGCCCATGGGCTATTATGACTTATTTCTGTATTAATATCAGCACACCAACCACAATAGTATTATATTGATATAATGCCTAAGACTTCTCAAAATATTTGTTTTGGTTGTACAAATTTTACCAAGACCATGCTTAAAATATGTTGTTCCTATATTTTGTAAGAACATTTTCCTTTTTTTTTTCAAAAGTTTTGTTCATAGATGCCAAACAAATTAAGGGAAATTATGTTTAGAGTCATATATATTATTATTTAAATTTAACAAAAAAGATGACTATATTATACCTTCTTTTAACAAAAAATCCTTTTTTTATTCAAATCTTCGTGAAATGTGCTTTTGAATTATTGTCCCCCCTGTACTTTAATTAACAGACAGCTTTGCTCTATGCAGTGACCTTAACATTACATAAAAAATTCTGCAATCATACTGCTTACAATAGCGAATGGAGAAACTGTATTTTTTGTGGAAATTGAAAAAAAAAAAATTGTTAAAAAATAAGAAAAATTGAGAAACATCTTTACCTGTTATGATTTTCAACAAAAATTAATTTCAGTATAAATTATGCTATACAAACTTTTGATCAAGTTTTGGTTAAAAACTTTTTGTTTCAATTTTAAATCTTTTTGTGCTTGCAATTAGAATTCAAGAAAAACTAATTTACAGATATACTATATACATGTAATTATTAAAGCTATTTCTAATTGATTCTTGGTGGAAAATTTTGTATTTATAGAAACTTTGAAATTTGTTATAAATCATATGATTATATGCATTTCAGATTGATTTCTGATGTCAAATTTATGGAAACTTTTTTTTGTTGTTAAATCTAAAATCTTGAGAAGCATCTCTTTTCCTAGCTAGGTTTTTAACAAAAATTGATATATAGTTAATTGTATAACATGTTATTCCAAATTGATTCCTGGTTTAAAAAGTTTGGTTGGCAGCAATTTTTGTGTCACAATTTATAAATATTGATACCCAATCAACATGTATTGCCTTGTTTTTATCAGTATTAATCTCAGATAAATGTGCTTGCAAGCAATCCCTTTCCTTCAAATGTGAGTTTTCTAGTTTGAAAAGAACTAACTTCCATAGTTTCTCTCTCACACATTGCCACTATGCAAATAATTTGGAGGTGCATAGCAGAATATAGATTTTGCCATATAAATATAAGTTTATAGTTTTATAGTTTAAATGTAAGAAAAATAGTTTAATACAGACATTAAATTTCCAATTTTGATTCCTTCACTTAGACACTGAGTTAATTTTCTACCTTAATAATAAAAGACATGTTTGTTCCTATGTTTTAAATTTTTTGTCTGGATGCAAAATATCAAAATATTTTATCTCTGCCTTGAAATAAATTAAGATGTTTTTTCATATTTGACCAATTTCACAACCAAGGTCACACTCGGGCAATGCACTAATAGTTGTATTTTGAGACATGTAACAATAGTACTTAGAACACAGACTTGCCAACTTCCTCCCTTTATGGGGGATATCCCCATTAAGAGTTCAAACCTGACCCCTATAAAATTCAATTATTAAGACAAAATACTTTAAAAAAAGGCATTCAGAGGAGTAAAAAATACATAAAAACACATGTTTACTTATTAAAACCATTGATGTTCTAATTAAGTACACTAATGACATGTATAGGTATGCATTAGGTCCTCTCGTACTTAAAGTCCCCCTTGGAGATTTTTAAAAGTTGGCAGGTATGAGAACATTTGACAAGTATTTAGTGCTGTCTTTCAATTTAACATAGCTTGTCCTTTCAGTCGTACTGAACATGCATGCAATATTTGTCACTGGACATTATGCAACCAACAATCAATCAATCTTGTCCTTTCAGTCATACTGAACATGCATCCAATATTTGCCACTGGACATTAAGCAACCAACAATCAATCAAGCTTGTCCTTTCAATCATACTGAACATGCATCCAATATTTGCCACTGGACATACAGTAACCAACAATCAATCAATCTTTTCCTTTCATTCATACTGAACATGCATCCAATATTTTCCACTGGACATTATGTGACCAACAATCAATCAATCTTGTCCTTTCAATCATACTGAACATGCATCCAATATTTGCCACTGGACATTGAACAACCAACAATCAATCAATCTTGTCCTTTCAGTTGTACTGAACATGCATCCAATATTTGCCACTAGACATTGAACAACCAACAATCAATCAATCTTGTCCTTTCAGTTGTACTGAACATGCATCCAATATTTGCCACTAGACATTAAACAACCAACAATCAATCAATCAATCTTGTCCATTCAGTCGTACTGAACATGCATCAAATATTTGCCACTGGACATTGAACAACCAACAATCAATCAATCTTGTCCTTTCAGTCATACTGAACATGCATCCAATATTTGCCGCTGGACATTAAACAACCAACAATCAATCAATCTTGTCCTTTCAGTCATACTGAACATGCATCCAATATTTGCCACTGGACATACAGTAACCAACAATCAATCAATCTTTTCCTTTCATTCATACTGAACATGCATCCAATATTTTCCACTGGACATTATGTGACCAACAATCAATCAATCTTGTCCTTTCAATCATACTGAACATGCATCCAATATTTGCCACTGGACATTGAACAACCAACAATCAATCAATCTTGTCCTTTCAGTTGTACTGAACATGCATCCAATATTTGCCACTAGACATTGAACAACCAACAATCAATCAATCTTGTCCTTTCAGTTGTACTGAACATGCATCCAATATTTGCCACTAGACATTAAACAACCAACAATCAATCAATCAATCTTGTCCATTCAGTCGTACTGAACATGCATCAAATATTTGCCACTGGACATTGAACAACCAACAATCAATCAATCTTGTCCTTTCAGTCATACTGAACATGCATCCAATATTTGCCGCTGGACATTAAACAACCAACAATCAATCAATCTTGTC